GGCCCCGCGAGCCCACTGGTGTGCGCCGGGCGCCCCCTGGGCCGCCCTCCCGTTCCCGGGCCGCACTCCACGCGGTCACCTCCGTTGCTGCCCTTCTGCGGCGCGGGACGGGGACGCGCGGGGGGCCACCAGCTCCCGCGGACAGGCCAGCCCTGTCAGCTCCGGGCGAGCTTCCCAAGGCCGCATCCCCGTGAGGTGGCCCCTGGCGGTCGTGGGGTCGCGCCCCCCACCCCAGAGTGCTGGGCCGGCAGAGCGGGCAGCGCCCCCAGGCCCTTCCCAAAGGGGACAGGGCTGGGGGAGCGGCAGGGGAATTCCTTTGCCCCCAGAAGTTGTCAGGTTGCCTAGGATGGAGGAGTCCAGGCCGATAAAGCGTGGGAGGCAGCCAGGCGCCAGCCTTGCCCAGCTGCGCTCCCTTAGGGCTGGGGGAGGCAGCTGCCCGCATCGTCGTCCCGTGAACCACCGCCCTGATGCGGAAATTGGGGGCGAGTGCCAGTGGGCTCAGAGGTCACCGGTGCCACGGACCAGGCTGCACCTGGGCGCAGGCATCGCCCTTTGGGCGGCCTTGCTTAGCCTTTTCAGTAACGGGCACCTAGAGGAGGCTCGTCTGTGTCCACACTGGGACCCCAGGCCTGTCCAGATGCCACCCTGGCGTTGCCATTCTCCTAGAGACCCCCAATAAAAGGTCTGCTGCCCCTTGCAGACAGAACCCTGACTTACAGAGTGTTTTCTTAGTATTTTTAAAAAGATTATTTATGCACAGAACTGGGGTACAAGCCAGAGATGTGGGGGAGAGAAGATTCACCGGAGACAGAGTGGGGAGCAGAACAGGCAGACTGATGAAGTTCACTGCTGAGGGGAGCAGTGGGGAGACAGGAGGGGTCTGCTGTGCCCTGGGGGTCACCTCCGGGGCGGGGGATCGAACTCAGGCTGAAGCTGCTGCAGCCGGCTGCAGCGCTCCAACCCATTGCGCTACCAGGGAGGGCGCTCTCTCACTCTCTCTTTTTTTTATTACAAAAGTTTATTTTTACATCATTTTGTACATTTTTTTTCCATCTCAATTGTAATCCCCGCGGGTTTGAGGGCCCTCTTTTTAAAAGATGTATTTATGCATACAGAACTGGGGTACAGGCCTGAGGTCCGGGGGAGAGTGAGAGAACTCCCCAGAGACAGTGGGGAGCAGACAGGTGGACCCACTGAAACACACTGCTGAGGGAGCAATGGGGGACAGGGGTGTCTGCTGCGCGCTGGGGTCCCTCCCTGGTGCTGCACTGGCTGCGGTAACCTCTAGTGCTGCGCTCTAACCCCTTGAGCCACCAGGGAGGACCCAGATCATACACATTTTTGAATACTTATTTACTGATGCACACAGACACTGGGGTACAGGCCAGAGATGGGGTGAGAGAACTCCCTAGAAACAGAGTGGGGAGGAGAACAGGCAGATCCTCTAGACGCACTGCTGAAGGGGGCAGTGGAGACAGAGGGGTCCGTTGTGCCCTGGGGTTCCCCCTGGCCGGGGGTGGAACTCGTGCTGCAGTGGACAACCTCATAGTGAGTGCTGCGCTCTAACCCCTGCGCCCCCAGGGAGGGCCCTGGAGTATAATTTTCAGGGAGACGGGAACGTACCCATACTCCCAACAGGAGTTTGCCTGTGTACACCACGTTAACTTGTCTCTCGGGCTCTTCCTGCAGGTCTCCCTGAGGGGCGCTACTTCACAGGTGATGAGGAGCGGATGTGATGCGTAAAAGCCGCCAGGTGGGCACCTGCAGGGAATGGCCAGTGCAGCTAACTCCAGGCTGGGGCTAGAGGGAAGCGTCTGCCTGGAGCTGTATGACTCGAGAACCAGCAGAGTGAAAAGGCCTCCCCCAGTTCACTAGTGGGGTGACCTGAGCGGGAGGCACAGATGCTGGGGAGCCCTCAGGGGTGTCAGGCCCGGTGAGCGAGGGGCACCGTGCTCGAGGCTTTCAAAGCAGGAGCACGCCTAGCAGGTAGCCACATCGCGTCGGGCGTGGTCCCAGCTACGGGGTGCAGGGGAGGGTGGAGGGCAGTGCAGAACCAGACAACCCCTGGGGAGGACGCTGGGTCACGGCAGGGGTTGGGGGGGTGGGCGGTGGGCTCATCAACTTCCTGGTCTCCAGCGCGGGGTCTGCAGTCCGGGGGCAGGGCAACGGTGCACCACCCCTAGGTCAGCAGGGCCCCATCATCAGCTGGCCCCCCATTCACACGCTGGGCGTGGGCGAGGGCGCACCTGCTCGGGCCGGGCCCTGCATGGAGGTCAGTGCCTGCCGCATGGTGCCTGCTGTGGGGAAAGTGGTCACAGTGATCACGGTGCTGTGATGCACACATGGGGGGGCTCCCCCACACCCGCCCAGCACTCTCTGCTAAGGACCTTTGGAGCCGTGCTGATGGGCCTGGCTCGCCGGAGGGCCTGTGGTCAGTCACAGTGGTGGGCCCAGGGCAGGCAGGGCAGTCAGGCGGGCACAGGCAGGCCCCGGCCGCTGGAGCCTGGCAGCTCTGAGAGACCCTTGTCCGCCGGGGAACGGCATCCCCTGTTGGTTTAAAGCTGGGGAGAAAGGGTGGGACGCGGGTCCTGGAGAGACCTCCCGCTGTGAGGGACAGCGGCCAGTGGGGTGCGCCCTCGTGCAGGTTGGGGGGGGCCTGGGGGAACTTGGGTGACTAGTGGAGCAGTGTGCCTCCTGCCTGTGCAACCTCGGGCGGGAAGTCAAGGAAAACGCCAGACTCTGGGGTATCGCCGACCAGGCCCTGTTGGGAAAAGGCGCACCCCCTCCCGCAGCAATCGCTGCCGCGCAAGAAGGGCCCAAGAGCGGCCCTGCCCGGCCTGGAGGACAGGCGAGTCCTACGGAGGGAGCCCCGGCAGCCCAGGCACTAAGGCCCCTCTGCGGGGCGGGGCCAGAGGGGGCGGGGCCAGAGGGG